TTTCTTTTTCTAAGTCTGTTACGTTGGACAACAAAATTCATAATTTTCTTATAAATTCTAGAAATTGAATATTTTTATAGTACTTTTTATAAAATTCTCTGACAAAATATAAATAGATTTTATAGAAGATCATTCAATCTTTTTTAATGAAATATAGTTAATACCTAAGTCTTATGTTTGTGGTATCCATAAATATGGTTGCCACAACCACAATAAATTGTAAAATACGGGACAACTACATTTGTGGTTGTCACAACAACATTGAACTTTATGCATTAATGTAGTTGTTGGAATCAAGTCGTGTTGTTGGGACAACCACACAGTCTTGCTATCAAAATCGTTTTGTGTGGTTGACCCAACAGCAGAGTGTAGTTGTCAGTGTCGTTCTGAGTGGTTAAGGCAACTAAACAGTTTGTTCTCAAAATCACATTTTGTTGTTGTAGCAACTGATTATTGTTGTTGTTAGAATCATTTTATATGGTTGAGGTAACTCATAATGTTGTTGTCAGAATCGGTCTATACTATAGTATTGCTACATTGAAAAAACTATATTCTAGGTTTAAGGATATAATCTTAGCTCCTATGCACGGAAAAAATCTTGGGTGACGTGCAATCCCAATCGTCGGAAAGTGGGGGAACTATAGTTTGGATGTGCTACGTTCTCAATTCGGGAAATCTACGTTCCCATGTCGGTGGCGCTGAACACCCAAGATTTGAGACTCAAAACCTTGGGACTGCAATAGCCGCATCTTGGGCGTTCAGCACGCCCAAGTTGGAAATGCAGCTCCTCCAAACTAAAGTCGTATCGCATTCGTACATTTTCCGTCTACTTGGAACGGCACGTCACCTAAGATTTTTTCCGTGTGTAAGTATATTTTTTTATGTATTTATTCTTAAAGTAAGAAATATAATATTATTAAAATAAAAAATTTTCTTATTTTAAGAAACTTTTTCTATTTTAATAGTATTATATTCTAACTTTAAGAATAAAAAACATAGAAAATATACTTTAATAGGAGTCAAGATTATATTCTTAAATTTAGAATATCGTTCTTTCTCTGTATTAAAATCTTTAGAATTTCTTAGACAATCAGATAAAGTAGTTGTCGTTAATTACAATATAGTTGACATAGCAACAATGATAGTGTTGTATATACTTGGGGTTATAAAGTTAATAAACATTGTTAAAACATTTAATTTTTAAAATCATTTATTTATTAATATTAAACAAAATGTTTTATAACAAAACATAATATAATGAATACTAAATCTAAATTAAAATCGCACTTATCAAAAATATAATAAATATTTGAATAGTATATTTAACAATTGCGTGTAATGAACTACTGCCAACATGATGAAGGATGACAGGAGATGGAGTAACCCATTTCTGAAAATCCATGAAGCCATATTATTTTATGTTATTTATGTTTAAATTGATTTTAATCATGTTTCATTTGTATAAAATATATTTGTTTACTTACTATTTATTAACGAAGTCATCTTTCTTTATTTTTGTAACTTTAAAGACACTTTTAACTTAAACAACGGAAATAAAATAAATACATTCAGCACTTAGCATTTGACATACAAACGATTTGACGCCTTCAACAGGACTATGTAGTTTGTCACTTTAGAGCTCAGGTACATCCGAAGCGTCTGTTACAGTTTTGGGGAAAACCCAATAGGGCTGTAAGAAATATTATTAGTCCCAGTGTTAAAATCAAATTTCGTCTTTTCATTCTATTTTTCTGAAATTAACGATAGAAAATATTAAATTTGAATTATTAGTTAAAATTAATTAATTGTATAATTATATAATTTATATATACATATATAATTTATATTCCTGACTCCAGGGGTTTCTGACCCCCATGATTCAGAAATGACCTTGGATCCGTCACTGACATTACTGCAAGTAAGGCTATGTTGTTCCCACAACAACATACAAACGCTGGAGTGACCATAGTTGTGGTTTTGGCAACTATATCACTTCAACTAGAACCATGTTGTTCCCACAACAACATCATTTTCTTGGGAAAACAAAAAAATATTTAAGACAACAACACTTATGGTTATTACAACACTATCTCTTGCAACATTTAAATTGTAGTTGCCACAACCATAGCAGTTTTTTCCGTGTAGATAACACTGTGTATGGCTGAAACAGCAACATAGTCTGTACAATATCCACCAATACATTATGTTAGAATTAGCTATAATTATGACAGTATCAAAAATACATTTTTTTCAGCATAATTGTGTGAGTATTAAATACACAAGCCTGCATTATTTCAGAAGAATGGATGGGACAAGGTGTTTCCGAAACAAGTTTCGTGATGAACACGAATCTGGTGTCCAAAATCAGTTGGTATAAATTTCGCTATTATCAGAAATTAAAGTTTAAAAAAGCTGAAGCTTAAAAAAATAACACTAACCAGAAAAAAAATTACGGGATTCACAACCCTTATAAATAATTTTTTTAAACGTATCTCCAGAAAAAATTAAAAATCTAATAATCATTCTTGTATACTAAGAAAAAATACGTTTTAAATATTTCAGGGCTCGAACTAGTGAAAGTATTTAAAAATACGGACTTTACGGACCAAAAATGAAAAATTACGGACCAATTGCTGACAAAAATATAACCAGTCCGAGTCAAATAAGAGAACATTTTACTTAAAACTATAAATTAAATTTTTCACAACTATAAAACATGAAAATATCCATAACTCTGAGTCTTCGACTCGGAGTGATCGATTTCTTTATATTAATTAAAGATGATCGAGTGATAAAATCATTATCGATTCAATTATTATTTTCAAGAATTTTTAACCAATATTCTTCTTAAAATCGATTATTTTTAATAATTTTTGAAAAAGTTCTTTAAGAATTTTTAAATTCATTTCTTTACAATTCAATTTTACGAAATTTCAATTATTCGTAATTTCTTTATTTAAATATATATTTAGAAAATAAGAACTTTAAATAATATTAAAAAAATCCACAATTAAACCATCTCAAAAAAAATTAACTCCATAGAATTGTTAATTAAAAATATGAAAATTTCAAATTTTCAAAGATTTTAATCTGAAACCTTTTGAAAATTCAATTATTTCTAAGAATTTATACACTTTAATGTTCTTAATATTCAATTATAATTTAAAATTTTAACTGAAATCCATTTTTAAATCAATTCTTATGAGAAAATTCTACTAGAATTCAATTATTTAAATACAAAAAAAACAATTATTGAATAATTGCATGATTTTTAAAATTGATACAATTGATACTATTTGATACATTTCAGAAAACTGTGCTCACTATATAAATAAGGTTTTGTAACTTTTTGCGAGAGAAATTGGTATGCTTTTAATTTTGAAATGAACTACAGATTTGTCATAGGTCTTTCCTCTTTCTAAGAGTGAGCACCTGCAAGTTCGTACAAGGCTTCTGTCATGAGCATGTGGTAAATAATAGGCACACCTGTGACAAAGAAAAATATTTTTGTCGGTTTGTTTAAGAAAACACTTTCGATATTCTTGGCTATGACCAAATAAGACTGTAAAACGTCTGACAATGTTAGTGTTTCTATATATATATGTAAGTTGTAACACTGCGTCATGGTTGAGGAATATATTTCAAGTATACAAAACTTAAAGTAAATTTCTCATCAACCTCTATAATAATAACGAAAAACTATAATTTCTATTTATTAAATTTTTACTTTAAAAAGTGATGTTAAGTGTTTTAACTTGCTGTTTGAAAACAATATATCGTCATCAAGTATTTTTAACAATAACTGATAAGAAAATTAGGTATTATCGTACCATAGACAATATACGTGACAGATATTGCTGAGGATGATGCAATAAGATGAAAATTTCTTCAAATGAAAAAATTACCTCTACGATAAAAATATAAAGCAACAAATTTGGCGTTTCTTACAAGAAACTCTTTTCTGAACCGAAAAACGATATTTGTTCTTTTCGAGGTAGCAATTATTTTTCTCCAAGTTATTAAAGGAAGAAGTAAATAATTTATTAAGGCCTCAGACGTAATCCAGTTCTCACGAGATTATATAAATGACCCTAAGTGAAGTATGTGTTTTAGAAAACGAGAGAAGGTCGCAACCCCCATGAAATGAAATGATGAAAGAAGATTCTTAAATCTGACAGGAAGCTTAGAGTTAACGCTCGTTAACTCACCAATTACAGGGTTTAAGTTGCAGTTATAGGGTTGATTGGACGCGACAGCAGCAAGTATAAGAGTGGAATGGGTCACAAGCCAAAAGGTGAGATCCTAACATTTGACAGTTTATCAACTAAAGTCGGAATTATAACCAACTTTTCTTTTGTCTAGAGCGAGGTCTCGAGCTACTGTCTTAGAAATAATGGTTTACATTTATTCTTTATCCGTCCCTCTTACAATAATTATTGATAATTATTACTCTCCATCTGCGGATTTTATGAAAACAAATTATTCGCACTAAGCAATCAGCTTTTAACTTTTCTTAAAATAAATTAATTCATCAGAACGAATTTTTACTGTTTTTTAAGGTTTCTTATCTTGAACACAAAGTGATAAAAAGTTTGATATGTGGGACATTCTTCGTTCATGAATCATTAAAGTTTTTGTTAAACAACAAAACCTATACAAATATACAATGTGAAATTTATTCAGAACTGTGAAAAGTAATGAAAAAAACAATTATTTTGTACTCTATCTGAGTAAGTGCACATTCACTTATTTATGTTTCAAAAGTCTTCCACGCAAAAAATATGTGTATACACACTTAAAATAAGTGAAATTTCACCTATGAAAAAGTTGAATTTTACTTATTCTAAGTATATAAGCATTTATTTTTTTACGTAGACGACTTTTCCATTCTCATGGTTTTCCTGGGACAAAATAAAGAGATTTTAAATTCTAAAAATAATATGACTCCTAACTATTGAAAATTTTTGACAAAGTTACTTGAAATTGTTTCTTATTCTTACCATATTTTTTTCTTCCTTCGTTAGTTGCCAAGAATCGTTGGAATTACCCCCAGGAGGATACATAGTAAACATTGTATAGTTATGCTCCTCGATGACGTTTTCATAAAATCCTACGTTAGGCACACGTTGCATAATTGTTTTTCGACAACTGGCGATATTCACTTGTTGATGAAACAAAAAAAAGTTAAAAAAAAGTACCTGCTAATTATGACAGGACAGGTCATAAGGTTCAGTCACTAAGGTTGTGAACTGCTGGATAATTTTATCGATAGTCGATAATTTCACTTTAACACTTGTTGAATTGATTTTCGTTTATTTGAAAATCAGTCTGATTTGACGAGTGTTGACGTGTGTAAATATTTATTTACACTACTCAGTTTCACTAAAACTAAAAAAGCGAAAGATTGCAGAAAAAGGATTTACTCGCTGTTTTACTGGCGACGTTAAAGTATTAACTGAAGGAACTGCACTGAGCTCATTACTGACTAACGTGACTAGGTAGTGGGAAACTATACAGAAGAACTTGACAATAAGTCCCCACTACTTTCTCTAGAGTTCCGAATGACGTCATCGCCATCTTGATAGCCGATTCGCACGATACTGTTTGACCAATCAACGCATTCACTGCAACTTGACTGCTTGTACATACTTGCTACCACCAAACCACATATACTGTGTCAAATTCATGGAATTAAGAATTAATTAATTTTTCTCTGAAATTCAATCTTTTATTAGTCGTATGCGACGGAAATACGACGGAAGTGTAAATTCCTGATCACTATACTTATTTTATAATTTCTATATTGGTTCACAGAACTTGTAGTTATGAAAATTTTAATTCATATCGTACTAAACACTCCTTTTACTCAGGGCCATTCGAAGCACTTAATTGCCGCAGATTCTGTACTATAGGCTGTGTGGCGAACTGACGTCACACGTATTAACATGATTTATACATCACTGATTCCAAATTAAGGAAATGAATTCAACAAATCTGACAATCTGCATTTGAAAACTTGAAACTTCGAATCTTGGCCGATACAGAGTTATGTCTTTTAGGGTCTGCTTTTGTAAATACAGCGTGACCTCGATTATCCGAACTAATGTCGTGTGTAATGTGCTGAATTTAAGGCAATCACGTTAAAAATCAGCAGTTGTATATTTAATTTAAAAGGTAAAACTGAAAATTCAAATTGCCTGTCCTTATTTTCACTCAAGTCGTGTTTAAATTAAGACTGCCATTACTTTCAAGAGTTGTTTAATTTCAGATAGTTCTTAAAATAAGAATTTCTTTTTACTGTGGAAAACAGGTTCGAATAATCGAGGTTCCAGTGTAAGTAGAAAAAGTAAAGCATAATCGATTCACCGGCAATTTTTTGAAAGTTTATTTCTCATATTTAAATAAAAACAAATTAAAAATTCATATTCTTCTTTATAATTGTTATTAATACTGTAACTGAAAGAAATTTCGATTTGTGCCCTTTGCAAAATTAAATTAATAATATCAGACTGTTTGTATTTATCCCAAAAAATTTCTAGCATTTACCCCAACTGTCCCTAATTCATATCAAGTAGTAGTGTTTGAATATTATAAAAATTTTCTTCTTTCTCCAAGCAGGGCTCGAACTAGGTCCGCAAATTCCGTAAATGTCCGTAACTTTCCTTGAAGTCCGTAAAAGTCCGTTTTTTTGAAGAAAGGTCCGTAAACATGGTTGCCACAAAATCTAGATTTCAAAATTCCAGGCTTTTTCCAGGTTTTCCAGGTTAAAAATATTAAAAATTCCAGGTTCAAATTTAGGAATTATTTGTGATGAAAAAACAAGTATTTTACAAAACAGTGTTAACAATATTCATTATTATGTAGTTATAAATTAATGTTCTCTTAAACAGTTAAAATCACAGGCATTTTTATGTTTATTTTTCTGAAAGTGATACTTTTGATATTCGATTTTTCAATTTATTTTTTTTAAATTATATGGTTTTTTCTATTGAAACTACTTTATTTCATACTCAAAAGTAAGAATTTTTTATAAATATTATATAGAAAAATTAAACATCAGACCATTAACTTTATTTTAATGTGCATTCACATTTTTTTATAATATTTTTAATGTATAAAAACATCATTAATCATCGTGAAGTAATTTTAACTTAAACTGAAAACAAAATTTAAACATTTTTATCACATATAAAACGGAGGTACAAAAATTTTTAAAATGCACATAATGATAGAAAAACATTGTATTTTTTAACACTATTTTTAAAAAATTTTTAAGAGTTTGAAAAAAACCATAAAAATTTAGTTCTCTTATAAATTATAAATTTTTTACTATAAAAATGGTTAATAATATTATTAGAGAGTAGATTCTATAAAATTAATCGAGATATCAAAAATGTCACTTTCAGAAGAATCAGCCATAATTAGAACATTGAAGTCATGTCTAAATTAAATAATTTTTATCTTTAAACTTTGTTCAAAATCTTGAACAAAAAGCAACTAGTAACAAAAAATTTTGACAATCGTAATACTAATAAAGATATAAAATCCTTTTTTTAGAACAATCTTAACAACATTTTTCACAGTTTCAGTCAATAATTAAAAAAAAAATTAATTTAAAGAGAAGATAACATGGAAAAGGAAAATTGCATGTTAACATTTTTAAAGAAAAAAAACATGTTGAATGGAATTTTTCTTAATATCTTTCATTAACCCAAAAAAATTCCAGAAATTCGTTCAAATTCCATGCTATTTCTAGGTTTTCCATATCCATTTTCAATTTCCATGCTATTTCCAGGTTTTCCAGGTTGTGTGGCAGTCATGGTAAAGTCCGTAAATTGTACGATATAATTTGGATAATTTTAGAGAAGTTAATACAAATGATTGTAGGAATTAAATTATTTTCAAAACTAATAAAATCCTTCGCAAAAATTCAATTAGGTTAAATTTTTTTTTTAAATTCTCATCAAAATTTCAATTATCTTTAAAAATAATTAAATTCTTCTCCTCAATTCAATTATTTTCAAAAATTTAAATAAAATTCTTGTCAAAATTTCGATTATTTTCAAAAATTTTCCTCAATTCAATGATTTTTAATAGGTATCTACTATTCTAATAAAATTTTCCAAAAGAATTTAATTATTTAAAAAACAATTTAATAAAATTCTACACAAACCTTTAATTATTTTCAAAAAATAATAAAAATTTCACAGGAATTTCATTATTTACAAATTTTTTTTTATAAATTTCTTTGCTATCATTCAATTACTTTCATAAATAATAAAATTTTTACAGGAATTCAATTATTTTTAATACAAATTTTAATCAAATTCCTCGAAAAAATGTAATTATTCTTAAATATTTTATTAAAATTCGTTTAAAAGAATTCAATTATTTAAAAATGTATTGATACAATTCTTTATGAGAATTCAATTTTAAGAAACATGCAATTATTCAATACATAAATTGTTTTTTTTAAATAATTAAATTCTAGTGGAATTTTCTCATAAAAATTTATTTAAAAATGCATTTCAGTTAAAATTTTAGATTATAATTGAATATTAAAAGCATAAAAGTGTAAATTTTTAGAAATAATTGAATTTTGAAAAGGTTTCAGATTAAAATCTTTGAAAATTTGAATTATTCATATTTTTAACTAAAAATTCTGTGGAATTAATTTTTTTTGAGAAAGTTTAATTGCGGATTTTTTTTATATTATTTGAAGTTTTTTATTTTTTAATATATATATTTAATTGAAGAATCTGAACATTGTCAAACAACTTTTTCAAAAATTATTAAAAATAATCGATTTTAAGAAGAATATTGGTTAAAAATTCTTTAAAATAATGATTGAATTGAGCACCCGCGTCCAATAACTCGATCTGCGCTTGAACTGAAAAATTCAAGCCAGTCAAGCCGGCAGAAAATGGAAAAAAATAAAAGTCGGAATTTTTAATTTTAAAACATACTACCGTATAGAGCATAAAAATGCCCAACTTTTTTGTCTTTGAAATTTTTCTGTAGAACTTTTATTTTTAATAATAATGGACAAAAACTGAATTTTTTTTATTCTTCAATTTCATTGAATTTCAAAACATAAATCGACTTTTCTCAAACAAATCTTAATGAAATTAATTAAAAATTGATATACTTACTTATCAGGGTCTACCGAAGACGATGAAGTGATTGAAACATTAAAAAAAGTTTATTGAAAAATTATTTGTTAATATAAATACAGACCTGTCAATAAATACGTTTTCTCAACTTTGACGAGAAAAAGTGTGCGGTGAACTTTCGAGTTGACACAACTTCCAGTGAGACATTTGTTTATTAACATGTGAAGAAGTTTTTTGGAAATTTTTATTTAAATCGGATGAAAAATAAAGAAGATACATAATGTTTAAAAAAATATGCGTCGTGCGGTGTTTTGACATTTCGACGCAAGAGGAGAAAACTATTGGAAACTATTGCTATTTTCTGTTGATTTATTTAAAAATAAGTTTATTCATGTATTATATTTAAAATAAAAACAATTCTATACATTTATAATATGATAGGCAGTAAAAGATTTATTTAGATTTACAACGACAGGAAGAAAAATAGGTAAAAGTTAAACAAATGCGCGATGCATAAAATTACCACCAGAGGGCAGCACCTAATGGGCATATCTAATTCTCATATTTTACTTCCTAACGTCGTGTATTATATTGGATTTTCAATTTCTTGTGTACAAATGAAAAAGCAAATTTTCAGGATAACTGGTTTTTTTCTATTTTGCAATAACTGTCCAAATTAGGAGAAAAATCCTTTTGAAATTACGTTTACGTTCAAGCAGCCATTTTTAAAAGGCGACCACTGTTAGTTTCCAATAGTTTTCTCCTCTTGCGTCGAAATGTCAAAACACCGCACGACGCATATTTTTTTAAACATTATGTATCTTCTTTATTTTTCATCCGATTTAAATAAAAATTTCCAAAAAACTTCTTCACATGTTAATAAACAAATGTCTCACTGGAAGTTGTGTCAACTCGAAAGTTCACCGCACACTTTTTCTCGTCAAAGTTGAGAAAACGTATTTATTGACAGGTCTGTATTTATATTAACAAATAATTTTTCAATAAACTTTTTTTAATGTTTCAATCACTTCATCGTCTTCGGTAGACCCTGATAAGTAAGTATATCAATTTTTAATTAATTTCATTAAGATTTGTTTGAGAAAAGTCGATTTATGTTTTGAAATTCAATGAAATTGAAGAATAAAAAAAATTCAGTTTTTGTCCATTATTATTAAAAATAAAAGTTCTACAGAAAAATTTCAAAGACAAAAAAGTTGGGCATTTTTATGCTCTATATGGTAGTATGTTTTAAAATTAAAAATTCCGACTTTTATTTTTTTCCATTTTCTGCCGGCTTGACTGGCTTGAATTTTTCAGTTCAAGCGCAGATCGAGTTATTGGACGCGGGAGCTCAATTGATAATGAATTTATCATCACTCGATCA